AATATATATATATATATGTATATATATATATATATATATATATACCTTAATTTTTATTGTCTCCATGTCTAACTTGGTTTAGATATCAACAGGCGAAAAAAAAATAACCATGTAAAAAAATAGTCTTGATATAGTCAATACCATATTTAAAAAGAAAAAACTCTACATAGGTTAGAACCAGGCCAGGATCACGGGGTTTTGAATAATCAAATCAAGCAAAAGTGACAAAACACGAGGAGTCAAAATTACGAGGCAGAGACTTTCATGCTTGTAGATTAAGAAATTTTACATTATTTAGCTCTGCACATAGTTCGTTTATTATTAGCATTAGGGGTACATATATATTCAATCACATGCTTGAAGAACCCTGTGCATGCAGTTTGGGGACCCAGATGAGATGATCCGCAGGGAAGAAGTGGCACACAGGAGAGGTTCCTGGACTAATCTTAAGCACTTGGAATGAAACATGAGTTGGTGCCCATTGTGATGTATCCAAGTGACAAACAACCATAGCATCAACCCTATCCCCATTCTCACCAACTAGTGACACCCTATATACCCTATTCCCACTTTCTTGGCTATGGCAATAGAAAACAGCATAAGGGTAAGGCATGGTGTGACAAGCCACCATCTTGGGAGCAGGGATTTCCATCAGGGTTTCTAGGATTGTGTAATTTTGGAAAGTCACACTTGACTTTGTTTGGTGCAAAGTGGCAAAAACTTGGGGTTCAGATGTCAACCCTAGAATGCTATGTGTAAAGTCAAGCATGGACTCTAGAGAGGTGGCACAGAACTTCACCTCTCCTTTGATGGGTTTGCTCTCACATTCCTTTAGGGTGTTTTCCATGGCTGTGGCTTGGGAAGAGTGTGGAGAGAAAGAGAAGAGTTTGAGAAGGTATGGTAGTTGGTTAGATGAGAAAGGAACTGCATCAGCTTCTTCCCTTGGCCACAGCTTGGGGGAGTTTGCTGGATCTCTCTTTGGAAAATGAATGGCCATTCTTTTCCCTACCTTTAAGTCTTTCAAAGTGAAGAACACCATTAGTGAAGGGTCTAAATGGTCCATGCTAGTAAAATGAGCATGCGAGTGGCTACTATGGCCCAGCTTATTTGAGTGATCCATGGCATGTGTTTCAGTGAGGCCATCTTCAAGTGAAATTTCCAAGGGTTTGTTTTCTGTTCCAGCCAACTCCCTGGCTTGGCCTCCATAAGAACACTACAACAAAGAAATTAGGAAAGAAAAAGAAAAAAATTTTATTAATATTGCTTACAATTTGTTTCAGTCTGCTTCTTAATTAAAGAAATTTACCAACAAAGAAAGAGAGTTTCAAGAAAAAAATAAACATTTAATATACCAGGATGAGTACTAGGTAAATGAAAAGGTTCAAATTTATGCCCATATTTCTGCTTAATTGCATGTATTGAATCCTTTCCCAGGAATAGACCGGGCGGTTAAAACTGTTCAAATATGGAATTCAGTTGGTTCGTATCTATCTCAATGGAGTATCTAACAAATAATTTTCAAACTGACATTTCTCCACCAAAAAGGCATAAACATTAAACACATTTTCTTTTGGTTCCATAGATAGCATAATATAAATATTTTACTTGCTTAAAACGTGGGGTTGGGTTAGGGGGATTATTATAAATAGTCGGCAGATTCAATCAAAGTAGCAGTTGTATATAATGCACCACTTTTAGTATAATCGAATCAATAAGGTCACCTAGGTTTACCTAATCTGTATTTAAATAGCTAAATGCCAAGTCATTGTCGGATATCGTGATCAGTGTCAACCAATGAAGGTAGATTCTGTCAGTGTCCCTATGGAGACAATTAACATTATCAGTAATTAAATTATTGAAAGATTTTGGTATTCCAAATGTTAAGAAAAGATATATGTGATAGCGATATGATGCAATGTGAGTAGTTTGTGTCCTTTTCTCTTTAATTTTGTTTTTGTAGGGCCCTGATTATTTGCTGCCTGTCAAGAAAGAAATAGAAATAAAATTTACATATAAATATGGGAGAACATATTTCTTACAAAACTACATACATTACAACAAAATTTATTATTAACAAAAATTATTTAATAATAATAATTTAATTATTGCGATATATAAAAATATTAATAACTAATATATAATAGCCGCTAAAAATGTATTTATATTACACTAAAGTTTACTATTACTGACAAGTATTATTAGAAAAAACTTAAGTCTCACATTGATTAGAGATAAGATAATTAAATAGTATATAAGTGAGGAATAACTATCACCCTACAGGTTCATTCTATAGGGTTGACTCCTAATTCACTATTTTAAATTGGTATCAAATCACCCATTATTACCAAATTCAATAGTATTATAAAATAATTAGAGAATAACTTTTACTTTATAAATCTCACATTTCTTAAGAGACAAGACAATTAAAAAATATATAAATAAAAGACAACCCTCATCTTACAAATCTCACATCGAGTAGAGATAAAAAAAAGTATATAAGTTATGAATTTAGAAAATGAAATTATAGGAATAAATTATTTAAAGTAAAGGAGACAATTGAAAAAAATAAATTTTAATAGCCTTTAAAATGGCTACTAAAATTGCCACTAAAAAAATAAGTTTTTTCGATAATTTAGTAGATTTTTACCAGTATTTTATATAAATGCCGGTAATACACCAGCCTTTATTTAAATGCTGGTAAAAAAAATATGATTATTTATATGACTGTTAAATAATAAATTAATTACTACAAAAAATTAATTTTGATGTAGTGATAGTAGTAGCTAAAAGATAATTAAATCAATCGATAGCTCCACCTTTGTGCATAATCAAGCTGCTTTTAGTGTATCTTTGACAAACACTTTTAACTAATTTTTCAGCTGCTTTTTCCAAAACGATTTTGGTGTTACAAACGTGAATGATAACATAATAATTACCTAGATCACTATATGAGATGTATTCGCAATTGCTTGTGAGTCGCTAATTAAGCTGTGTGAATCAACTTAATATAAACTTATCTACACTTAAAACTAAGGCTTTCTACTTGAAAATGGTTGAATTAGTGATTTTTTTAGATATCAATCAAAATTAATTAATTAATTAATTCAGTGCTATTTGGCACAAATATATAAGGGTGTATAAAAAACTCAATTTGATTCAAACTGATCTATAATCAATTCAATTCATTTAAAGAAAAAAATAAAAAATAATTCACTTTATAAAATTAATTTGATATTTGATCTAATTTTATAAAATAAATTAGTTCAATTTCTTAAAAAAAATATCCATATATAAATAAAAAAATAAATACCTGCATTGATCACACGATCTAATTTTAAAATATTTAATTTATTTTTTTTAATTATTTTATAAAAATAAATTGATTAATTAAATTATTTTTATAAAATAGATCGATTAGATTAGATTCGATTCGATTTAGATTTAGATTTTTCAAAAAAAAAATCCATAAACATCTTTACAACACATTAAAAATTAATGTTATAAAATATAGTTAAGCATCAGAACATCAAGAATGTTAACTGTACTTCTAGGACAGAGGCAGACGAGGGGTTTGATTAAAAAGTGAATTGAAAATATGACATTATATTCGAACAAAATATAATAAAATACAGAAAAATATCAACAAATTTACTGTGCATGATATCTTTTTAGGTGAAAATTTCATTGGTGTGGCTGGAACGTGGAAAGAAAATAATATTCTTTGCTCTATTGTTAATCTTTATGCTCCGTGTGATTTGAATAGAAAAAATGATGTGCAGGAAAGGAATGGTATTTTTGAATTTCAAGTGGAAGAGGGGAAGTGCAACCAATGGATTCAAGCTGGTGAGTATGCATAAAATCAGGTAACCAGATTACGTGGGTGTAATTTTGAGAATCTTGATGACATGTTAGTAATGGAGAATAAGGATTTGAATTCTGGTGATATGGTAACTGATATGCTGGACGCAAATTCTGACCACATGTTGCGGGATAATAATAAGCAGGAGTGCAACCTTTCTGATGTTGAACTTGGGCCTAATAAGGATGTCAATACGGTTCATCATGTTGGTGACCCATATTTTAGGCCTTGCATTGTGCCTAGCCCAAATAATTTAGTTGGAGGGAGGCGTGATGATATTGGGCCTGATGAAGTAATCTGATCTCACTTATTGGAGGATGAAGGATTAATTGACCCATCTTATGTGGCGAATGAAATTCGGCATAAGGATTTGCTGCATGCGTTGCCAGAAACGGATGAAATTGGTTTAGGCAATGACCATGTTCAGCTTTCGTGTGGGGATAATTTGGTGGAGGGTGTTGTTGGGTCAGGCCAAGCTACAGAAACTGCACCTTTGCGGCACAATGTGGTGGAGTGTGTTACCAAGCTGGGTTCCGCATGTAATTGTGAGGCAGCGACCCACTTTGATGAAGATGTACTAAAGGTAGATTTTGCTAAAGGATCCAAACCCAGGTTGTGCAGTAGCGCTGAGGGTGTGGTGCCAGGTAGAGTAGTTTGCAAGATGGATAAACAAGTTGGAAATCAAGCAATAATTGCCAAGGATGTGCCTGAAGAAAATGGTTCTCGTGAGGTGTTTTGTGATGGTCAGTTGCGGGAGGTGCCAATCTCCCTAGCTGATGCGGCAACTGAGATATTGTTTGTAGGCTCGCAAGGAGTATCCATTGATGCTGGGAACCGTAGGAAGAGAGGAAGACCACAGAAAAACAGAATCAAGTGAGTCACACCGACTTGCATCTAGATGATAGCATACAGGAATTGAATGTTGCCTCTCTGGCTGCTCATGTGTGGGAGATTGGGCAAAAATTGGGAGTAAAGGGACTAGTTCCTGATGAAGTCATTGTTAAAGATCTACAAGAGTTGGAAAAGCGTGATCGGGTGGCAGCTGGTAGGGATATTCAGTAGTTTTATTCAGTGAATATGGGTGTGTGGTTGGGTGTTTTGTTGAGTAAATGATTGTGGTGTCGTTAAACATAAGGGGTTTGGGGGGAGATTGAAAAAATTAGAGGTGAGAAAATTGTTATGCAAGGAGAGGGCTGATGTTTTTTTACTTCAAGAAACTAAAAGGGAGGTGATTGATGATAGGTTTTGTAATTTTTTAACTGGTGGTGCCATCTAATGGTATGTCAGGAGGTTTACTTTCAATTTGGAGGAGAGACAAATTTACTGCGAATGATATCTTTTTAGGTGAAAATTTCATTGGCGTGGCTGGAACGTGGAAAGAAAATAATATTCTTTGCTCTATTGTTAATCTTTATGCTCCGTGTGATTTGAATAGAAAAAAGGAATTATGGAGTAGCTTAATTTAGCTCAGGGTAAATCGTGAGGGTGATGTTTGGTGTCTTAGTGGCGATTTCAATGCACCAAAGCGGACAATATCCACATGCGGGTTGCTTGGGCTGTTCCAAAATGAATCATGGACCTTTTCAAGTCACTGATTGACCATATAAAAATAAAATAAAATTAGTCTATTGGCCTTTTATATTGGAGGCCAGAGAGACTACGCATTCTCCATAATTTTAAACGTTTGTAAAATTGTAATGCACCAATTATTTAGAGATACCAATGTCCCACTATAACGTTAGATATAAAGAGAGACCTAAGAAAGAACAAATAAATTAATTTTTAACTCATTGAATGTTTTGGTGATATAACTCTATCTATTAAAATAACTAAAAAAATATATTATTATCTGTCATTTTAATCTTTAAAAAGAGTAATTTTTGAAACTACATAACTTGAATATAATTTCTAATTAGATATTTTAGCATTATTTTTTAATTAAAATTAAAGTTTTATTTCATTAGTTGGCCTAATAAATATTTGCATTAATGGTTAGTATAGTGTTTTCTTTTCAAATTAAACTCCAATCTTGATTTATAAACATTGTCAAAATACCTAAGAAATTATCGTAACTAATTAATAAGTTTCACCCTTTTAAAAAAAAAAACTGTTTTCAAAACTAATATTTCTTGTTTAATTTTTAAAACTTAAAAATTAGAACATCTTTAATTTATTTTGGGTTTTCTTCTCTCGTAATTTTTTTCTTGGATTTTTATAAGCTTTTTTAAAATGTTTTACTATTAAAAAATTAAAGAAAAATATAATCGAACACTCATCAATATTGTAATTCATTTTTAATAATATTAACCCTTATATATTGAATATCAATATTTATTTATGTGAGAGTTTTTTTATGAGTTTTTTTTTTTACGAGAGGATTTTTAGAATATTTTACTTCTTATCTAAAATAACTTTTATTTATCATAATTATTTGTTAATTAAATTTTAATATTTTTTAAATAAATTATCAACAAATAAAAAATAATATTATATTATATAATAAATTATTTATCATAAATCTAAAATATAATTTATATATTTTAAAATATTTATTATTTAATTTTTTAATATAATTTATATAATTAATATAATATTTATTTTTATGCATAATTTATTATAAATTTAATTATATAATAATAAACATGTTTATGTATTGTACAAATTAAAATACTAATATAAATTAAATATAGTATACTTTAAATAT